TCAGCTAAACTATAAACTAAGTTGCTCCCAAAGTTAGTTCAACCTATGCCCAGGAATGAACAGGGTTAGCTTGGAGGTTAGAAGCAAAATTGCATCAGTTAGGTCCAATCTTTTTCACTGTTTCAGTTATAGTTTTGCAATGGTGGTTCCATAACTTTAAATAATGACAATTGCAGTTTTTATAAATAATCTAGGTAAATGATTAAAATAATTAGGTAAATGTAATAGGATAAGTACTTGTAGACAAACTCATCATAATTCAGAATCTAAAGTTAGATTAAATAACAGATGTTTCACTATTTGGATATTTTCCAATAAAATATATTTGTAGGGAAATACTCTCTCTAAAAAACAAAAACGTGTCCTTTTAAAAAAGGTGAACAATTTTTGTCTAATTCAAAGCTTAAAGGTCATGTATAAAACAAGGTAAAAGGAACCAGGAAATAAAAGAGTAAAAGAGATGTAAAGAAAGTCATAAAGCAAGTTTTTTTTCTTTTTTTTTTGAGATAAGAAAGCTTAAAGAGAAATAATTTCATATGAGAAAGAATCTTGTATGGTAAATTTAGTCCTTGAGTAAAATGACTGGTTGCTTACGCAAGAGGGATGCTCAGGACAAACAAGAAGGCCCAAGCATGTCATGAATGGTCTGTGTAAGTCACAATAAGAGGGTCTGTTTAAAAAACAAAACAAAACACCAAAACTTTTTACATGATCAAGCTGTCTATGATTAAAGGGAAATTATAGTGGTCTTTATAGATATTGGGTTCAATGTAAAAAAACAAACACTTACACCAGGCGTCCTCAAACTTTTTACACAGGGGGCCAGTTCACTGTCCCTCAGACCGTTGGAGGGCTGCCACATACTGTGCTCCTCTCACTGACCACCAATGTAAGAGGTGCCCCTTCCTGAAGTGCAGCAGGGGGCCAGATAAATGGCCTCAGGGGGCTGCATGTGGCCAGTGGGCCGTAGTTTGGGGACACCTGACTTATACATTAAAGAACTGGTTAGAACAATCACATTTTCCTAACAGGCTGATTTATGCTTAATTGATTATAAGAGATTTAAATTTTTAAATTTTAACTCAAAGCTCAACTTTTATTGCCTCTCACCAGTTTCAGTTTTCTTTTCCCTTTTAAAAGGCATGAAATAGTAACTCTCCCCTTCAACTTATTTTCAGCTTATATAAGATCTGTTTTCCTCCTCAGGTTCTGTTTCTTTTTGTGGGCTGATACTAACAATGTTTTCTCAAAGAAAATTTTTTTTCTAACATGATATTCTATGCATTGCAGAAGGTACTTTCTTTTGCCTTTTGATAACTGGCCTAACAGACTTCATGTTTTATTGAAATAATTCCTATGCCATTATTATTAAGCTTGTTTTGCTTAGGAAAAACTGAGATTAATTTTTTTTTAAATTAAGGTTATTACATCCTGTATCTTCCCATATGTGCTTTTAAAGTCCTTGCAACATTAAGTTACAGGAATTTGACTCCTGGGTCTAAAAAGAACACCAAGTCCTGCTAAATCTTAAACACTGACAGCAATTAAAGCCTCATCTTCAGGCCCAGTAGAAGATGCCAGTCAAAATAAACTGCATTCCTGAGGCACAGGGCCAGAAATTAAAGCTATTCAACTCCTCAAGGTCCAGGGACTATCCCAAAAGAAGTAGGCATGTGAGATTGTAAGAGCCAACTTTGAGAGATAAAATAAATTCAGTTTCTCTGTAAATTAATCATTAATGTCAAAGTCACACTGATGCAAATATGGGCCCCTGTGTCAGATTAACAAGGTTTTCTTGAAACAATAACTGACTCCTTAATAAAGGTTATAAAGGCTTATGGAAGTTATATATTATCATCAAGATGAATATTTTATAGATTGTAATTTTGGAAAACAGATTTAATTGGCTTCATTATGTTATTAGGGCTTATTGTTTGGAAAATTAAGTTTCCTGTCTCAAAGAATGAAGGTTTTTGCTGTTTTTTTTTTGAAATCCTTATCACTTTGGTCAAATGAATGATTTATTTTACAATGACCTGTAATCCTATTTTATATCAAGTGTTTTAAACCTTTGATATTTAACAAACTTTCCAAAATCAAATTATAAATTATGTCTTTTTCTAACCTAATCCTTTAAGATATTATTAGCAGGTTCCCTAAAGTCCAAAAATGACATATTTGGCTTACTTGGCATAAAAATTATACAGGAAGCATTATCAAATATAAAATGGTGCTTGGTTTTCTTTTGGGTATATTTGTATAAATATGTCATTGGTGTGTATTCCAAAATTATGGGAAATTCCTATAATTCTGATATGACTTAATGTACATTATCAGTAATGATCATAATTGTAATGTTAAATTATTTTGTGCCACAGAGGAAACAAATTTCCTTGTCAATTGTGTCTTTGACTATGGGTGCCTAAAACTTTTTGTCATCTACAGTTATTGTCTTGTTTTGGTCCTCTTTAGAAGGTGGTTTTATAATCAGCTACAAAACTCTAACAGGTGCTCTTGAATGCTGGTTTCTAATAACTTTAGAGACGGTGACATCAGAATAGAGGAAAAACTTTTCAGGACTCATGGAGAGCTGAAATGTTCATGAATATCAAGCAGAACAGGAATTAACTGCATGGACTAAACTAATAGAAATGTGAAGTAATCTTTTTGACTTTTTGCTTAAAACATTGCTGATGCTTTGTTTTGTTTTTCAGAGTCAAGAAAACTTTAAGGTATTTAGAGCTTTTAACAATTGAGTAAAGTATACTCCTATGTGAAAAAATTGGAGCACATTTGTTTCTCTGTACCTGATTTCTACAGAATTTGGAAACTATTTGCAAGTATTCCCAACTTATGACAATACAGTTATTTGCATAAGTGCAATAAGAATCTGTTTTCATGGCCGGGTGCGGTGGCTCACGCCTGTAATCCCAGCACTTTGGGAGGCTGAGGCAGGTGGATCACAAGGTCAGGAGATCGAGACCATCCTGGCCAACATGGTGAAATCCTGTCTCTACTAAAAAATACAAAGATTAGCTAGGCGTGGTGGCACCTGCCTGTAGTCCCAGCTACTTGGGAGGCTGAGGCAGGAGAATTGCTTGAACCTGGGAGGCGGATGTTGCAGTGAGCCGAAATCACGCCACTGCACTCCAGCCTGGCGCCTGGCAACAGAGAGAGATTCTGTCTCAAAAAAAAAAAAAAAAAAAAAAAAAAATCTGTTTTCATTTGTAACAGGACACAATTAGAGAAACTGATTATTTTACTTAGGCTTTGACTGGAATGATGAGCTTTCCTTTAAGGACTCAAACTTGACTTATAGAGCCAATGAAAGCCCTTGGAGAAACTGGCCTCATACTTTTGTCTACACAGTCCCTGTACAGGGCTCCTGATCTGTGTAAGTAAAGAATGTCACTTTCTGACAGGCCCAGGACCTCCAAATTTATCTTCAAACCTCAAAAAGACAGTAATTCACCCAAATTATAGGCATATAATGGTACAAATCCATGACTGGATTCAGCTTTTAAAAAGTCTTATTTGAGATTCCTTCTATGAAACAAAGTTCCATCAAAGCCAATTAAAAAGCCTATGTAAAAAAATAATTACTCTCGGTGCACTGTATATCAATAATTAGGCCAAGTATAATAAAGCAAACCAGTCCTATTGTGATTCGTCCTTAGTTAAAATGGGAAGCTAGAGAGAAAAATTATGTTTTAAAAACTACAGTACAGCTGTTGTTATATTCCAGTCTTGCCTGTTTTTCAATTTTTGTTATTTTCTACAGTTTGAATGAAATTCTAATTTTTGTTGGCTACAAGTCTTCAAACTAATGTTTTCCATTTTTTTCCTTCTTTTTTTCCCCCTACTTTTCCTAATTTGGAGTCACTGAAGATGAAGCTGTGCTTTCATAAAGCCTGTGAGCTGAAGCTAGACAAGTTAAACTTCGGAAGAAAATAACAGCACCCTGTTTGCATACACATGCCACTTTCACACCTGCCTGCTGATGTATGGACGTCAGAGTAATGTGGCCTGTATTCATTTCCCAGGATTGTTCTTTCGTTTGTTGTTTTTATTCCTTCCTCCCGCTATCGTCTCTTCATAGGACATGAGACTTCACAAACCTTCTAAAAATGAGCTTCCCTAATAACTTGGGACCTGCCTGTCTATGAATAAACTGTCCTAGCCATGAGACATCAGATGGAACCTGATACCAGAGACTCGTTTTCTTCTAAAATGCTTTCTCCAAAAGATTTTTAAAAAGAAAAAGGGGGGAAATATGAAATAAAAATATCTTGGGCCCCCAAAATCACTAAGCTAAAAGGGAAAAGTCAAGCTGGGAACTGCTTAGGGCAATCTGCCTCCCACTCTATCCAAAGTCACCCCTCTATTCACTGAGATAAATGCATGTCTGATTCCCTCCTATAGAAAGGCTAATCAGAAACTCAAAGGAATGCAACCACTTGTCTCTTATCTCCCTATGACCTGGAAGCCCCCTCCCCACTTTGATTGTCCTGCCTTTCCTGTCCAAACCAATGTTCACCTTGCATGTGTTGATTGATGTCTCACGTCTCCCTAAAATATGTCAAAACAAACTCTGCTCTGATCACCTTGCGCACATGTGGTCAGGACCTCCTGAGGCCACGTCATAGGTGCGTCCTGAACCTTGGCAAAATAAATGTTCTAAATTAACTGAGACCTGTCTCAGATGTTTGGGGTTCACACGGGCATGTGGCTGGAGCTCAGTAATTGTTATATGGGCGCATTTATAAGGTCACTGGGTTCTCACAACATTGGGGCAACAGGTGGTATTTTCATGTCACATTTTACCATGGGGAAACTGAGGCTAAAAGTGGGGGCTTCGTGAGTGCAGGCCTGCCTGGCTCTGAGCTGGGCTCATCCCAGTCAGACTTCAGGCTGGTCCCAGGCAGCGGAAGGGACTGGACTGGGGCCATCTGTACCTGAGCTACAACCTCAAAAGGGGGCCACTTCAGGTGGGGACTCACCATCTGACTCGGAGGCGGCCCTGAAGATCAGGTAGCTGCTGGGCAGGGGCTGTGTGATGGAGCCCACGCTCTCACCTTTGGGGCCCTGGAGAGACAGAGATCAGGGTGTCGCCCGAGGCAGCACCCAGGGCCAGCTGCATAGACAGGTCAGGCAGAACCATGCAGACCCACACCCAGGCCCACCTGGACACCCCCAGGGTCACAGGGCCACCAGGTGGGGCCAGGCACCTGGCCAGGTGGACACCTGGCTACAGAGAGGTGGGGAGGTGGGGGTCCTCTGCCCTCAGCTTTCCAGCTCTGAGCATCCTGACTTGGCATGGCCAGAATCAGCAAATGCACACCCAGGATGCCCAGAGAAACCACCAGTAGCTTGCTAAGTTTTCCCATGCACAGCTAGGGTCACAGTTGTGTGAAGGAACCCTGATGTTTCTCTGACATCCAGTGTAACCAGGTGCTCGGGTTTCTCTGGCTTCCTACCCCAGTTAGCCCTGACAGGGCTGCCCCAGCTTAGGAGGGGTGAGGGCTGGGCACTGTTCCTCAGCCACCCCTGGGCAGCAGCCACTATCCTCCCTCCTGGACAGCAGCTGGGTGAGGGGTGGGGGTAACCTTGCCACCACCCTGCCACGTCTGTGCAGCCCCCTGTGTGCGTCGCGGGAGGACCCAGAACCACATCTGATCCCCCGGCCCCACGTGGGGCTCAGAGAAGGTGAGAGACCTGCCCAAGGCCCCGAGGGGCCCATTTTGGACTTGACAACTGGCTGGGTCCACCCTCCACCGAGGCCCCAGGAATGAGCCCCTTGGTCACCTTCACGGCCCAGACAGACTGGTCCAGCGGGTGGAAGAGCTTGAAGCAGAAGCCGTCTTTCTTGGAGGGGCGCTCGATGAGCTCACAGCAGTGCAGCAGCACCGTGCCCACCCACTGGCCCACCTTGGGCGTCTTGTAGATGAGCAGCACCCCCGGCTTCAGCACGCACCACAGCTTGGTCCAGCTCTTCAGGGTGCCGCGGATCTGCAGGAAGGGTGCTGCTGTCAATGCCCGCCCTCCGGTGCCACCACCCCGGGGCATCTGAATGGCTTGGTGGGGAGCCGGGCACAGACCAGGGTGGGGTGCTGAGGGGCCCTTCTCTTCCCTCACTCCCTCACACCAGCTTGGAACTGGCCCCTTCCTCGCCCCCCCACTCCCTGGGGTGGTGTCTGGTGCCTGCCTTGTGCCCAGGCAAGGGCCAAGCCACAGTGGGCAGTGCCCCAGGACTCGGAGTGGAACTCAGGGCAGGATCCTTGTCCAGGTTTTAAAGAGAACCCATGTGCTATGGCGAATGCAAAGAAACATGTGGAGGCAGGGACAGATTTCCTTGTGAGGTTCATGTGGGTCAAGTTCCAGATCAAGGCCCCCAGGGAGGAACCAGCAATGAGTGGTGTGGCTGTTGTCACTGGCGGCTCTGTACATTCTGCAACTAGTTGTCATTTATTTTCTTATTCTAAATATTTACTTTTGCACCTAACTTTTGATTCGTAATTTTGGTATGTGGGTAGAAAAAGCCTGCCTGAGCCAGGGCTCTCCAGACTCGAGGGCCGGGTGCACTTATCTGGTATGCACTGCCTGGCAGCCTGGAGTTGGGCAGTTTTACCCCCACTGTGTGCAAGAGGAAACTGAGGCTCAGAGGCTGAGTGAATGGCCAATCTCCGTGAGGTCTGAACACGGGACACCTGGCTCTGACGTGGGGTCCTCTCCCAGAAGCCAGAGCGATGCCTCCCTTCCTGGCACCCTGTGCCCACTGGCCAGGCCCCACCTTACTTGGAAATTAGGTCTTCGCAGACATAATCAGGGGAAGATGGGGCTGCACTGGGGTAAGGTGGCCCTAATTCCTACCACCGGTGTCCTTATAAAAAGGGGGAGACACATGGATGAGGAAAGCCCGCACGAGGACAGAGCAGAGGCTGCAGTGATGCGGCCGGACACAGGGAAGTGAATTTCCACCATTTTCGGCCACACTGGGTACATGGTCCTTTGTTACGGCAGCAGCACAGTGAGCCGTGTCCATACCGGGCGGCCAGAGGCCGGGTGTCGCCTACCTTCAGACTGTCGGCCATGATGACCACGCTGGGGTCCGTCAGGGCGCTGAGCAGCTGCCGCGTGGCACGCTTCTTCTCCTGCCGGTAGTTCTCCTTCTGTGCCTGGGCCCGGGGCACCCGAGGTGGGTCACAGGAGAAGGCGCCGAGTCGCCCCAGCTCCTCCCTTTGCAGCCCAGGGGTGGGTCCAGGGGCAGGGACAGGAGAGGAATCGGGGGGCGTGGAGGCAACCAGAGGCAGTTTGTACCCCACGCTTTGGCAGGCAGGGAGGGTGACCTCCCTGGCTTGGTGGCCATCGGTCTGACAAGGACATGGCTGTGCCCTCCCCGGACCCGGGCTCACCTTGAGAGTCTCCTTCTTGGTGACTCTGGCAGTGGGGGACACACACTCCTTGTGTGACCCGTTGCACAGCCTGTACTCTGCCTGCAAGAGAGAGAGAGGTGGGTGCAGGGGACAGGACATTGGCGCCGGTCCAGGTCCAGGAGCTCAGGGCGGCCTAATGCCAGGCATACGAGGGGCAGAGGTCAGAGAGGGGTGCTCCGCTCCCTTCCCACCTGGTACCCTGTCCCACCCACCAGTACTTCCAGGGCTGCCACAGGGGGGTGGAAGAACAAGGGTGGCCGACTACAGCCCCTCCTCGGACACGCTGGAGACGAGGGGACCCACCCTCCTGGGGCACCTGCCAGTGTGGGGCAGGGCAGTCGGGAAGTAGGGAAACGGGATATCAGGGTTCAGGGCTGACTTCCCACGGGTCTGACTGAGCCCTGAGGGATGGCCCTCTTTGAGGGCACACCTGGGAGGTCTCAGAGGAAGGCGTCAGGGTGCCAGAGGGTGCAGTTTGCAGCAGGGGAGCTTGGTGGCGGTCATGAGATGGTGGCCACAAGCATTCAGGCTGCGTCTCTGGACGCCAGCCCTGCATCCACCCAAAAGAACCACTTCTCCGCCTGGCCTTTCCCCCACGGTACCCAGCACACCCACCTTGGCCATTGCATGTGCCCAGCTCTGGGCAGGGCTGACGTGCAGGTAGGGGGTGTGAAGTGGGGGCACCCACCACACCCCTGGGAGCCGGGGGCAGGGGTCAGTGCTAAGGCCTGCACCCGAGCCCAGCACGTGGCTGACTGCATGGGCCGAGGGCAGCCATCCCAGGGCCTTGGAGCCAGAAGGGGCCACGGTTTTTCTACAGATGGGGAGCCTGAGGCCTCGCAGGGGTGAGCTGGGACACAGAAGCAGGTCTGAAGGCTGCAGTCTGGGACAGCAAGCTACGACCCGAACCCCCCCACCCACAGACTCCCTGTGGTCTGCAAGCTAAGAACAGTTTCCACAGTTTCAATAAGTTAAAAAAGAAAACCAGAAGACTATTTTGTGAGATGTGAAAATGACATGAAATTCAAATTTGGAGTCTATAAAAGAGGTCTTCTTGGCACAGGTGTGCCGTCCGTCACACATGTCTGTGGCTGCTTTCTCGCTTGAACGGCGCACTGAGTACCTGGAACGGAGCCTGCGCCGTGGCGGGGCCTCCAGGCTGTCTCGCCTTTCCCGGGGAAAGCGTGCCTGCCCAGCCCCGCTCTGGCTGGGTGTCTGCAGGTGCTCAGCACTTTCCAGTGGAGCCTCCAGGGTGAGGAAAGCCTCCCTCAGGCCTCCTCCTGGCTGGAAGCTCCAGGCGCTGGTGGCCGCCCACCACCCAGTCACGAAGGTGCCAAGCACAGAGCTAACGCCTTGTCCGCTGGGACACCCCAGTCCTGCTCGGGTGCTGCCCACATTCATCCCCCGAATTCTCCAGCCATGCATGAGGTGGGGCCGGTTATTGTCCCATTTTGCGGCCTGAGAAATCAAGGCACAGAGAGGTGAAGAGCAGGCAAGGGTCAGGGCACGGAACCGTTCCATGGACTGGCGGTCCAGCAGCGCTGGGTGCCAGGATTGCCCTTAGATGCCAAGCTTAGAAAGTAAAGATGCCAGCGAAGATGCCCGCAGAGCCAGGAAACGCCAGGGATGGAGTGCTGTGGCTCTGCCATCTATGCGGGGGTGTAAGCTCGTTAGATGCCACAGCTCAGAGGGTTATCATTATCAGCATTGTGCAGAGGAAGAGCCTGTGCACAGAGAGGTCCAGACACCTGCCCAAGGTCACACAGCTCGTAAGGAGGTGAGCTGGGACTGGATGCAGGCAGTGTTGCTCCAGTGTGGCACTGCCTCAGCCAAGTAAGAGCATCAGGTTTACAAGATGAAAAGGGCACAGGACGGACCCTTGCGGGGGCTCTGACTTGGAAGGAGTCTTGGGGTGATGATGAGTGATAAGGAGGAGCCGGATCTGAGTGACGAGGCATGCACCAGACCTGGCCGGGTGAAGGGCCTCCAGGGACCCCCGCTGGCAGAGAAGGTATCCTAAGTTGCCCTCCTGGGAGTCCCCTGAGCTGGGGTCTTAGCTACCTTGGCACATGCTATTCCCAGCCTGGAATGCTCTTTGCTGTGGCCGGGTAGCCCCTGCTCTTTCTTAGGCTCCCTGAGTTGCTTCCCCAGAAGCAGGACAGCTCATGGCCCTGCTGGCACAGGTCTCTGTGACACACACCACCCTTGGCCCGCCCGGGCCTTGTGCAATACAGCCACATGGCCGTTCACAGCTGTTTCTGTGGTGAGTTGATGGTTGTCTACCGCTTCCGCCAGGGGAGGCTTCTACCCTAATGCCCATTCACGCTGGCAGCTGGGGCTTGGCAAGCATCTCAGATGGATGAATGGATGGATGGATGGACGGACGCATGAACCTGCTGCCAATTCCCCTCTGCCCCGCTTCCCACATGGAGCTGTGCGTGTTTCAGGTAACAGGGGAAGACAGAGGCAAGACTCGGGGGCACAGGATAGAGCACTTACAACCACTGCCCCCAACCGGGCATGGCGCTTTGGGGTCTGGTCACTGTAGCCCCTGCCCAGCACTGCAGAGAGTGCCTTCCCACTCCTCCCTCCTGCAGGCCAGGTGGGCCCCCGGTCCAGGCACGCTGGGCCCTCCGTCACTCCTCGGGCTGCTGTGCATAAGGCACAGTACAATAAGGAAGTACCCTGACAGAGTGCTGCTCAGAACCGCGCACTTCCACCTCACGAGAACTTTGCAACCTCTAAAAATTATTTAAAGATATAATTTAGAACAAGCTATGGAATGGGAGGAAGTCACTGCAAATTGGATGTCGGATAAGGACCTGGTATTCAGAACGCATAAAGAACTCTTACAGCTCAGCACCAAAAAGGCAAACAACCCATTCTGAAAATGGATGAAGAACTGGAATAGACATTTCTCCAAACGGGATATACAAATGGCCAGGAGCTGCACGAGGCCCTCAGCATTGCCCGTCATTAGAGATGCAAACCGAACCCACAGTGAGGCCACTTCGTGCCCACTGGGACAGCTACCGTCATAATGCAGAAAAGAACAAATCAGAAAATAGCCGGCGTTGGTGAGGAGGTGAGGAACTGGAGCCCTGTGGCCGTGGGTGGCCGCGGAAGATGCTGCAGCCGCTGGGAAGGAGTTTGGCAGTTCCTCCAAAAGCTAGACAGAATTCTGAGAGTTCTGCATTGTCACAGAATGACCACGTGACCCAGCAACCACTCTAGGTTTACACCCGAGAGAACGGAAAACAGATCCTCAAATACACGTGCATGCGTGTTCACAGGAGCACCGTGCGCCACAGCTCGGAGTTAAACAGCACGAATCTCCAGCGGCAGCCCTCCCGGAGCGGCACGGCCTGGGACTGGGAGCTGTTTTCCCGGGACAGGCCGCAAAGGCAGGCTCAGCTGGCTGCCCTGTTGTCTTTTCCCCAGCCTTTCCTGCTGTCCCCCAAGCCAGGCTCTGGCCCGTGGATGCTTCTACGCCCAGGCTCTTACCGGTGGCACCTTCGTGGCGGAGCTTGGGGTTGGGGGCCCTTCATCCCTGAGCAGCGACAGGCCGTTGGGGTCCATGTCCTTCCCTGCAAGAGAGCCGCGGGGGTGAGGACCCAAGCATGGTAGGGCAGGGCCGGGCTGCCCAGGCTGGCTACCTGGTGTGCTGTAAGCGAGGGTGGGTACGGGCGGCCCTGGAGGGGCAGGGAGTCAGCTGGAGGTGGCGGCAGCAACAGGACACTGCCTGAGAGGGGTGATAGATGCCAGCAGCCAGGAGCTCTGGCAGGGCCTCCAGGACCTACAGGGAGGAAGCTGGGGCAGGAGCTGGTGGGAACCGGCGTCCTCGGTCTGCTGTGGGGTGCATTTGTCTGTAAGGCCAGAGGCCCGGTTTTCAGACAGAGAACGTGGCATCCAGTCTCAAATGCTCACGGCAGGTTGGGGGCCCCTGGACCGTGCGTCCCTCTGGCCGGAAGCTGTGGCTCCTGCGTGCTGGGCTCTTGCAGGGAGAGCCTGTCCCTCATCCCACCCTGCTGTTCCTCATCCCGCCCTGGCAGGCCGGGTAAGGAGGAAGGAGGGGCGAGGGAGGGGACCCGAGGTGTCTGCATTTGCTCCTGGGGAAATGGCCTCCCCTTCCGCATCTCTGTCTGCTTTGGAGCCAGTTCCCCAAGGCACGATTCATGGACACGAGGAAGGAGGGGATGCTCACGGGGGAGGCCCGCGGCCCACCTGGGTCCCTGGCACGGAGACTCGGAGGCGCTGAGAGCTGGAGTGAGCCCCATCCTGCCGAGGCCACAGCGACAGGCCAGCAACAGACTGGCTGTGAGGACAGATGCCCATAGACCAGTGGAAAGCCTGAAGCCTACAGCTGCCCTTCCCTGACAGCCCAGGGCGGGGACCGGGTGGGGACGAAGGCCGGAAGAGCCAGGACGGGGGCCTGAGGAAGTGGTTCTGTCCAAAGGTCCTGGACCATGGCCACTCACAGTCACAGAACACGGCTGCCCCTGGCCAGGGGTGGCTGCTTCCTCACCTGCAGAGTGCCGCGCCCTGAGCCGGGGGCTGGGGAGCCCAGCAGGAGCCCTTTCCTCTGGGACTTGCTTTCTCATACGGTCCTGGGGGCCTGGCCTGCGGCCGCCAGCAAGCCACTCCCCTGCGAGTGCTGCCTCCTGGCCGGGAGGGCTCGGGGGTCCTCAGAGCACTCAAAGGGACAGGGTGCAGGTGACCTGGGCAGGGGAGGCCAATTCTGTCCTTCTCCTGGAAGCCTGTCCACACCCACGCCATTCCCCTGGCCTGGGACCTGCTGTCTCTGTTCCTCCGAAAAGACCCCTCCCAGCCTGCATTCTGCACTGCCCGCCAGTCCCTCCAAAACTGCCCAGCAGCCGGGACCTGGCCCTTCCCTTCCCCGGCCCTGCCTAAGTGCCTCGAAGGCTCCGGCCAGGGTCAGCGTGACGGCAGAGAATACAGGGTGTGGGGTTTACCCCACCGGGTGTCCAGTGCCCCTGCCTGCCAAGGGCCCTTCAGCAAGGCCATCTCTATTGTGGGACCTGGTTTTTCCGACTATTGGGTGGGACTTTGGCTGGGACCATCCCCAGGCCCCTGGATGGTGGGTCTGCCTAGTGCTCTCCCACTATCCCCGGGACAGGACAGATGACCATGGCCAGGCAGAGCTGGGGAGAGACCCCACAGGCAGGTGCCAGCCCCTGCCTCCTACCCCTCGGGGGAGCAGGGGAGGAAGAGCTGGGTTTTCTGGGGGACAGCAGTCACAGCTCAGCCTTGGCCTGGGCAGGGGTTGTGAATAGTCAGGCGCCAAGGAGGGGGCCTGGAGGGTGGCAGCACTGGCAGGCAGAGGTCCTGAGTCTTCGCGCTGGGTGCTTTATCCACAACGGCAAGAGGGCAGGCCTGGTTCGACTGTTCCCTCCCAGAGCCCAGGACCCGCGTGCAGCTGGAAGCAGGTACTAATACTGTCCCATTGTACAGATCAGTCAACTGAGGCCTAGAGAGGTCAAGTAGCTGGCCTGGGGTTACCCTGCCAGGAGGGGCTCAGGCCACCCGTCCCTGGAGCCTGTTTGGGATGACTGCACCACGTAACTCCCGAAACCTGGGCTGTGGAAGCCCCCTCCTCAACCAGATGGGCTTCACCTGGCTCCGAAGGTCAGGCCAAGAAACTACACCACCTGGCGCTCTACCAAGCTGCAAACCCTCTGATCATGAAACCCATGCAGTCTCCAGCATGGAGGCTGCGGACCCCCACGGCGGGGGCTGCCCGGGGTCACCCCACCGGCCCAAGCTGGGGGCCAGGCTGCCCTGCCTCGGCTGCACTGACCTGGGCTGAGGGAGTCGAGCTCATTGTCTCCGCCGAGGAGCAGATTCCGAGTGAGCTTCCGAGGATCGACTTTCTGCGGGGTGGAGGAAGGTGGGCACAGAGAGAAGCGGCGCCGGAGGAAGGCCTCCTCCTTCATGCCGTGGGCGCTCGGGGGCTTCTGGAAGGAAGGACGAGGGGAGCAGGAGGTTACCGCCTGGGAAGGGGCTTCAGAGCCGCATGGCGGGGTGCCCCCAGCTGGCACCCGGTACCCTCTCAGGGGACTTCTGAGGCAGGGTGAGGAGGGCCTGGGCCCTGGGAGCCTGGCAGGAGGGCTGGATGGAGTCCTGGTCAGAGGCTCGTCACCCCTCTTTCAACCCCACCCCAGGTTCAGTGAGACCCTGGCCGCAGCCAAGCGGGTCTTCCCGCTCACGTTTCTCTCCCAGGTGATGGTGCTCTACGGTGGGAGGGGTCTAGAGCCTGTCTGTCCATCAAGAAGACGTGTGGGGGCGAGACCAGATGGCCCCTGAGCTCCAGGAGGGGCTGGGCAGTCCGGGAGCCAGGCCCGCCGTCGACCTAGGGGTCCCTGGAGCCCCTCCCCACAGAGCAGCTCAGGTCAACCCTGCCTGCTGCTGGGGTGCCCCAACGGTCTTAGTTGCACCCATGTGCACCCCTGCAAGACAGAGAGCTCTGGGCGCTCACAGCCAGGCGCACCTGCGTCCACACCCAGCCTAAGATGTCGCGTCCCCAGTGGGTGCTTCCTTCCTGCTTCGCAGAAGAGGGAGGACACACGGCCAGGCCCCGACACGCGCTGGCCTTGCTCTCCCAGCCCCGCTCACCGGCTTCCCCTGTGGGTTCAGAAGCGGGTTTCTTGTCTCCTTCCCTGGAAGGACGTTGGCCATGGACAACAGGCAGTCCCCCACTGTCCTGTCCCCCGGCCCCACCCCTAGCGGTGCTGGGCCGAGAGGGGAACTGATTGCAGTCACGCCTTTGCAGGCACTTGACGCTGATGGCTGGAAACCCACCAAGGTCTCAGCCCATTTTACAGATGAGAAAATCGTGGCTCATGGAACGGAAGGCCTCAGCCTGTCACTGTGACCTGGCAGGGGCTGGCAGAGCACCCCCTCCGGCTTCTAATCTTGTGTCCACTCCCCAAGGATGAGCTCCTTAAAAACTGCTATCCATTTTCCTCCTCCCCTGATTGACTGGGGCTGCTTCCCACGGTGTCTCTGGGCAGGTGAGTGGCATCCTGCCAAGCCCGGGCCAAAGTACTCCGTTTCTCCCATGGCCCTGGGTGTTCCTGGGCGGGGGCCTCAGATGCTCAGAGCCTCTCCTGCTCGTGCTTTCAGGAGTGGGTTGGGTGGCGCAGGGTGTCCGTGGTCCTGGGCTCTGTCCACTGCCCCAGAGCCCCCTCTATGGCCCCAAAGAGTGGGAAGGGGCTGCAAGGCTGCAGCGAGATTGGGCCAGCCCCTCCCTCACTCGGCATCTGTCTCAGCAGCTTCCACACAGGGAAACCGGCTCCGGAGAGCCTGGGTTTGCACCCAGGTCACAGAGCTAACAATCAGCATGACCCGTCCTTGAGCCAGGTGGAACCGACCCTAAAACCTGGCCGCTGAGCGTCTGCCTGCTCAGCCAGCCTGCCACAGGGAAGTCCCGCCCCCACTTGTCAATCACAGCAAACCTGTCCTACTGGCCCAGGTGTGGCTCAGGCCAGGAGCCAGCACCTGAGCAGAGGAGGCCGGGCTGACTCAGCCAGCCAGCTGAGATCTTCTGAGCACCCAGGCTGGGCTGGGCACCGGGCGGCCAACCTAAGTCAGCCGCCATCCTGCTCACAGGACCCAGACAGCTCCGGGACGTCCCTGGCAGCATGGTGACGGTGATGCCCAGGTAGGTCTCTCTCACTTGGAACCTCCTGGGGCAGGGAGAGGGGCTCACAGCCCAGCTGCAGCTGCCCTGTCTGGCTGTCTGCTCCAGCTCCGCCTGGGCCAAGGTGCACAGGGCATAGTGATTTTGGCTGCCTTTCTGCTCAGACCCCGCGTGCCTCCTCCCAACACCACTGACAGCCAGTGGGACTTGTTAGTCTGTGAGTGCCATCACCCACTCAACCACAGCACTCGCTGGCCCCCTAGCGCCCGTCCACTGACATACACATGTATCTTCCCTTCCAGGCATCCACCCACCCACCCATTCATCTACCCATCTTCCCATTCTCCCTCCCAGGCATCCACCCACCTGCCCACCCACCTGCCCTCCCTCCCAGGCCTCCCTCCATCCACCCGCTCACCCATCCACCAATCTGCCATCCCTCTCTCCCTCCACAAAGCTTTCCAGCTAGTCAGTCGACCAGCCCAGATCCCACTTCCTTCCCATTCACCCCACACTCAGACACATCCAAGGTGGTATTCAAATAATAACTGACCCACTAATATGGAGCAGACGCTCACCAATCCCAATGCAGTGCAGGCGGGTACAGGGACTCGCACGCAGCATGCCAGCACCCACCAATCCCAATGCAGTGCAGGCGTGTACAGGGACTCGCACGTGGCATGCCAGCACCCACCAATCCCAATGCAGTGCAGGCGGGTACAGGGACTCGCACGTGGCATGCCAGCACCCACCAATCCCAATGCAGTGCAGGCAGGTACAGGGACTCACACGCGGCGTGCCAGCACGCCCTGACCAGTATCCAGTACCCTGGGCCCTGCAGACCACCTCTGACCAGCTCACACAGGCTGGGGGGCAGCTCTCATCACAGGACATCCTGGTCTGTGGAGCCCTTCTGGAGACGCCCTCCCTTGGACTTCCTGATGTCCTACAGCTGACAGGTGCCTGCTGAGTGTCCCTATATTGTCCTCTGGTGGGGGGAGGTGTTTTGTTTATTTTATTTTACTTTTACATTTTATTTCTGAGATGGAGTTTCGCTATTTTGCCCAGGCTGGACTGAAGTGGTGTGATCTTGGGCTCACTGTAATCTCTGCCCACCCCTACCCCTCACCCCCAGGTTCAAGCGATTCTCCTGCCTCAGCCTCCTGAGTAGCTGGGATTACAGGTGCCTGCCACCACACTCAGCTAATTTTTGTATTTTAGTAAAGATGGTGTTCCACCATGTTGGCCAGGCCGGTCTCGGACTCCTGACCCCAGGTGATCCAACCGCCTGGGCCTCCCAAAGTGCTGGGATTACAAGGGTGAGCCACAGTGCCTGGCCTGTTCATTTTAAAGGTCACATCTCCCCAGTGGCTCCTTGTGGCATTTAGAACAAATCCAGTCCCATCTCGTCCATTCCCCAAGCCCTCCCATCACCCCATTCCCCACACCGCTCTGTCACCCACTCTGCCCCAGTCACACTGGCCCCTTTATGTTCCCTGAAAATGCCGAGCCCATTTCTGCTGAACAGTCCTGCCCACCATCTCCGTGTGGCGGGGCCCTCCCCGAATTCCACCCTCAGCTTAAATGTCACTCCCCGGAGGGCTCGGCCACCCTGGGAGTTGATGTGGATTCTCCAGTAGCACTGGGAGTCCTTAGAGGGCTCGACTTTGCATTTCCCTGTTCTTCGGGCACTCTCTTTCCCCACCAGATGCAGGGCAGGTGAGGGGTGTCAGGTCTGACTGATCACAGCCCTGTCCCAGCAGCTGAGGCAGGGATATGCAGCAGGTGCTCCTGTGTGTTCGGATTCACACAGGCTGCCTGTCACGTGTCGCACGGCTCCAGGGTGGAGACCCTGGGTGCTCATGCAGCAGGCCTTCCCCAGTGGAGGCGCCCGGGGCACCCACCGGCCACCTGCCTCCCTCCCCACTGTTCCAGGTCTCCAGGTCAGGCACGGTCCTCAGAGAGGTGAGCAGGGTTAGTTTCGGGGCTGCTTTCCACTGGAACCCTAGTGAGGTTCTCATCCCCCGGCCATCCGTCACGACAGGCGTTGCCGAAGAACTAAGGAAGAGTTGGCATCTGCAGGGTGTGAGCTGCTGAGGAATGAGGCCCTGCCCTCTCGGTGCTGGAAGGACTTTCACCCACTGCAGTGAAAGCTGAAGGCTGGGAGCCCCGGGGAGCACAGCCCGCCATGGGAACCCCCCATGAGGGGAAGGAGAGAGGGAGGGAGGGAGGAGAGAAAGGATGGGTGGAGAAGGAAACAGCCATGCTGGTGAGACCACGAGACCTGGGATCCCACTCCCCGAGGGAAGCCCCAGGCCAGGCTCCAGCCACGAAGGGCTCCAGGTGGACCCTGTGGGCCCAGCCCTCAGGACCTGGATTCTGCCTGCCTGAGGCCACCCAAGGTTCACGTGAGGGTCACTCTCATCAGCCTCCATGCCCTGGGGGGCTGGCCTGTCCCTGATGCCAGCAGCACCTTCACCCCCAGTGACTTGCTGCTCATCCGTGCACAGCTGGGCCTCAGCCTGCAGCTGCCGAACCCTTTTCTGCCCCTGTGCCCAGTGCTGTCGGTCTCCAGCTGTGGTCTCACCTACCCCCGCAATCCTGATGTCCAAGTGCAGGAGGGGACGCGGTGGGGCCTGGGAGGAAGGAGCCCCAGAGTGCCCCGCACATGGTGAGACCGTCCCTGGGGCCAGAGATGGGGCATGGGCAATTCCAGTCTGAAAGGTCACGTTTCTGCCTGGGAGGGCCCCAGCCCTGAGACCCCTAGGAGGCTCACTCTGGAGGCCAGGCCAGGAGGCCAGGGAACAGGCCATGGCTGGGGAAGAAGGCAGGGCTGGGGGGGGGTGGTCACTAGATGTATGTGGACCCCAGTGCCCAGCTCTGGCCAAGGCTAGGAGGAGGGACAGGCGCAGGCCTGGAGCTCAGCAGGAAACAGGCAGGTAACTGGTGGCCTGGGAGCCACCGCCTGACCCCAGGTCCAGATCAGCCACCAGCTGCTGTGCAGACTCCACTCCTGGGGGCTGAGGACGTTTCTTCTTCCAGCGTCGTGTCAGGTGCTGGGTCGCCTCGTGGGCCTCCAGCTGGCCACCAGACAGGATGGGAAGGGCCTCCTGTGCTCCTCCGGGGGCCTGCATTTGCCGTTGCTGCCGTCCGCTGGCTGCCCAGCAGGCACACTTTGAGCACGGGGGTTGCATGCGCCCCCCCAGGAACCAATTCTCCAAGTGCCCCCTGCCTGGGGGAGTGACAGGTTTGGCTCAGCTGCTGGGGAGACCTGGTGACCAGCGTGGGGCTGCTCTTCCTTGTCGAGTGAGCCAG